GCTGGTTCAACTCCGGCTCGAAGGAGTGTCCTTTTGGCTCTGGCCCAGATCCTGTGGCACTGCTGTGTTTTTGGCCCTGTCCCAGTGGCTCTCTTTCAAAGGGCTGCCCAGCCTTGAGCTCTTGCCTCAGTTTGGGAAGACAAACAGTCAAGGCAGACTTGGTTGAACCCTGGGCTGGACGATGGTGGTCCTGATCACTAGGGTTTTTCATGGCCACCTCCAGCAGGAAAGTGAGTGGGGAGGTGGTGGTGGGAGAGCAATGCCAGTGGGAGGCCCAGGCTTTGGGTGCAGGGCATCCTTAATCAGGGTGGGTGCCTGTGAGGGGAGAGGCCCTCAAGCAGAGCTGCAGGGTGGGGAATTAGCTCAAGTGGTAGAGCGCTCGCTTAGCATGTGAGTGGCAGTGGGATCGGTGCCCACATTCTCCAAAACTTTTCCTTCCCCTTGCCTGGACACAGGGCCCTTTGGTGGGAGTCCCATGTCCCCTGGGAGATGTGGGAGATTTATGATGTGCCCTGGATTTACAGAGGACAAGGAAATCCAGGCCCTGTGCTTCCTTCAATAGCTCAGCTGGTAGAGTGGAGGACTGTAGGCCATCCTTAGATTGCTAGTTCAATTCCGGCTCGAAGGAATGTCCTTTTGGCTCTGGCCTAGGTTCTGCAGCACCGCTGACTTCTGGCCCTGCCAAAGTGGCCTCTTTTCAAGAGCTGTCCACTGCTGAGCTCTGATCTTTAGTCGTGAAGACAACCAGACAAGACATTTTGGGGGAGAACTCTGGTCAGGGAGTTGTGGTCTTGACCACTGAGTTTATTTGGGGTCACATATAGAAGGAATGTTGTTGGTGGTATGAGAGTAGGATGATGGAAGGCCCAGGCTTTGGGTGCAGGGCATCCCGAATCAGGGGTAGGTGTCTGGGAGGGGAGAGGATCCTCAGGCAGAGCTGTGGGATGAGGAATTAGCTCAAGTGGTAGAGTGCTCGCTTAGCATGAGAGAGGGAGCGGGATCGATGCCTGCATTCTCCAGTGCTCCATTTTCATGTGTCCCATTGCCTAGACACAAGGTCCTCTTCCAGGGGTCCTGCGTCCTCTTGGGGCCTTGAGTGCTTGCAGCCTACCCACAATACAAAGAGTAGGAGAAGATCCAATTCTGCATTAATAGCAGCATGGCCAATCTAACAGGGAACCTTGTTTTCTCCCACTTTCCTTGATAGATGTAAAATGTCATCTCAATTAATGTGTTCAGTTTTGAGATCCTGTGTACTGGAAAGACATTAATGAAATGGAGCAACTTCAGAAGAGGACCACCAAGAATCTCAAGGAATGGAGGGATTCCTCTAGGTAGATGGGTCAAAGACAATGGGAATGTTCAGCCTGGGGAAAGAGAGGTTTGGAGGGCTTACACATGACCTTCCAGTTTGTAGGAATAAAGCAATGACTCTCCTTCCATGTGGTACTTGACCAGAGGGCAAAAGATTGCACAGTGAGAGGGAATGGAGGGAAGTTGTAGCAGGATATGGATAAGCTCTATTTGGCTGTGAGGAGAATTCAGCTGCAGATGATATCCAAGGAGCTTGTGGAGCTTTCTGTTTGTGGTTTGCATGATTTGACATGCAAAAGGGATTGAGTAAGGTGTTGTGATGTTGGAGCTGGGGCTATTTGAAGTTTGAAGCAGGATGTTAGAATAGAAGCAAGATGGTGTGCAGTGGTGAGGGAAGTGCTGGATGAGTGTGTGATGGGTGAGGTAGTGGGCATGGCCCTGTGTTTCCTTTGATAGCTCAGCTGGTAGAGCGGAGGACTGTAGGCTCCCTTGCACAGCCATCCTTAGGTTGCTGGTTCAACTCCGGCTTGAAGGAGTGTCCTTTTGGAGGGTCCTTTTGGCCCAGATCCTGCTGTGCCACTGCCTTTTTGGCTCTTTCCAAGCAAATTCCCTTCAAAGTCTACTCAGCTGTGAGCTCTTGCCTGAGTTTAGGAAGATGACCAACCAAGGAAGTTTTGGGGTGAACTGTAGGATGGGGATGGTGCTTCTGAGCACTAAGGTTGTAAGGGGCACCTCAAAGACAAAAGTGAGTGGATGAGCTGGTGGTGGTCTGAGAGCAATGCCAATGTGGGTGCAGGGCCTCCTGAATCAGTGGTGGGTGTCTCTGAGGGGTGAGGCTCTCAGGCAGAGCTGCAGGGTGGGGAATTAGCTCAAGTGGTAGAGCGCTCGCTTAGCATGTGAGAGGCAGCGGGATCGATGCCCGCATTCTCCAATGCTTTTCATTCCCTTTGCCTGGACATAGGGCCCTTTGGTGGGGATCCCTCTGTCCACTGGGGGCTGTGGGGAGATTTATGGTGTGCCTAGATTTACAAAAGACAAGAACATCCGGGGCTGTATCAAAAGCACTACGGGCAGTTTGACAGAAGAACTGATTTTCTCTGTCTTTGCTTGACAGTTCTCAAATATCAAGCCCAGTACAGAAAACAAATGCATGAAATGGAGCAACCGCAGTGGAGGGCCACCAAGGATCCCAAGGAATGGAGATTTCTCTTTAAGGATGGGCTGAGGAGAGTGAGCATATTCAGCTTGGAGAAAGAGAGATTCAGAGGACTTGCACATGACCTTCTATTGCTTAGGTGTAGGTTATGGAACAGTTTTGTTTAGTCTGATGCTTGACCAGAGGGCAGAAGAGAGCACAGTGAAAGGGAATGAAGGGAAGTTGCAGAAGGATATGGGTAAGCTCTGTGTGGTAGTGAGG